AACAAGACATATAATACTGCCTGTTGTGCTCTTCAATGTGTAGCATTTAGTACAAATAAAAAATTTACCAGTGAGGAAACTGTTTCTCATTAATCCAGCTACTCACACAAATAATCCATGTTCCTGATCCAAGTTCCTGTCTTAGTTTTAGCACTGTTCGGTTATATAGTGTTTATCATGGTGGACGCACTTCCACCGTAGCCTAGAGATGTTCATCTATCTATTTGAGGTATTTGCTAAGTTCATCTCACTGGAGAGATCGTATTCAGTTCAAGCCATGATGGATTTTAAGCTTGAATATTCCAAGTGGACCAATATCTGTGATGCAGCTTGTGTGTCGGATTTACAGGCGTACAAAAACCAAGAGCAAAAAGGTTCCTGCTTGGAATTTTAGTATGTGTATAATGTGTACATTGTTTTAACACTTATTTTTAATATTTTTCTCATTAATTAATCGAAATGAACGGGTCAAAGACCAGGCCCTAGTTCTTCAGCATTGTGGTTAGTAATATTTAAATACTTCTGTTCCCTTACCGGACCCACAAATCCAAGTAAACCAGTCCTAGCAAAGGGGATTTCTCCAATAGGTGCTCCAGCTTGGTTGACTGGAATAACCTAAAGAGAAAATTATAAGAAGACAGGATATTAGTGTCAGATCATTCCACTCAAACATAAAAAAACAGAGATTAAAAGAAAAGAAAGACGGGGAAATAACTGGTACAATAACTTGTGCTAATAGAAAACTTATTTATTATTTATTTATTATTATATTATTATATAAAATTATTGCAATAATTTAATAATGTCATTTTTGAAAATTTCCTTCATTTTGTGCACTGTTTTCTAACATAGCTAACTGTTCATCTTCAGCAGTTAGAGGAGATTTTGTGAAAACAAGCTGGATAATTTAGAGTGAAATAATAAAGCAACAACATCTTACAAATAACATAAAGCAACAATTTATAAGAAAATGTAAAAATTCACTCAAGGACCTCAAATGTGTTCTTTGTGACACCAGGAAGGCCGTAGTACATTGTTCCTCCAGCACGAGAGTTGATCACTATCTCTCCAATCTCATCAGTTTTGCACAGTTGTGGCGGCCCGTCTGGTTTAACAATGCACATCAGAGCTGGAAAACAAAATAAGCTCCCAATATTAGGATTGAAAGGGCTAAGAATAAACATGTAAATATAATAAAGGTAAATGTATGCATGGACACTGCACATCAACTCCATCTGCAGGGACTCACCTCCAGGCATAATGTGGCCAACATCCTGGACAGTTAAAGCAGAGTTCTTGTCCTCTGTGTTGACTCTGATGACGCCGTGGCTAAGCCCAGCCATGGATAGGATGGCTCTGGCTGGGAGCGGAGCTCCCCGTGCACCAGGTCTACACAGAACAAAAAAAAAAAAAAAAGAAATCATAGATCACATTATTTTCCCATAACAGGTTTGTGATTGTTTTCTTCCTTTCGTGCAAAGTGAAACTATAACCCATGGAAGGCATTCTCAAAACCACAGATTTATCTTATTTTTTTTCCTATCCTGCTCTGTCTCATTCTCACAGTCTGTATAATAATCTGGTAGATGTGACATGCAGCGCAACACTTGATTAATAATCGGCCTTCTCCCCAAATGAAATCACACTAAAGGTGAAGTGTGCTCTTTTCCCGCCAGGCGTCCGGCAGAAGGTTCCGCAGCATCTTCTGCAGAACGGCCAGACTACTGAACAGTTTCTTCCCCCTGGCCATCAGATTGCTTAACGCCACATAACACTCCTCCCCCCATAGACATGGACAATTAACGCACCTTAGTTTAGTTTTGTCTTCAATTTAATGTTTCATTTTCAATAACACTTGGGTGAAATATTCAATAACTCAGTGCAATATTTATTTATTGATGTTACCTCTTCAATAACTCAGTGCAATATATATGTATATATATATAATCTTACCCTGTATATAGCTAGCTCTTACTCATAGAAAACATATTTATTATGCAGGAATAAGGTCTTAGCTCTGTTACACTGGTAGCCAGTAATCGACATTTCGTTGTCAAGATTCACCTTCTGTTTTTTGTGCAATGACAATAAAGGAAGTCTAAGTCTGAGTTAGAATGAAGGATTAAGGTCTACACAGCCCCAAGCATTTTAGGCCCCAAGGTTACATCAGCCACTTTAGATGTTCCATACTGGCCCATAATTGGATCTTAGGGGCGCACCTCACTGGGCAGCATGGGTAGAAATCATGTTTATGAATGTATATTTGAAATGACTTTGTTCGCCCAGTCATTCCCTGTTAAGCATCAATGTATGGCCCAATTTCTATCCCCCGAGTCACGAGTTAAAACTTAACACAACCTGTTTGCATATAAAACTTTTAAGGGTTCTGAATCAACTATCAGTGTTGATGTTCATGTGGTACCTGCGTATGGCCACAGTCAGGGCCTCTGGTGAGGTGGCACATGGACAGATGGACTCAGGCCTCAGACCATGAGACTGAAACACATTCAGGAAGGCGTCGCACGACGACACAGACCCTGGTAGTAAACAATCGATGAAGATATTAACAAAACAAAGCTTGAAACTACTGATGTGTTGAATTTTAGATAATAGAAACAGGATTTTTTTATGGAACATAAGTCACTCACATGGGTTTGCTCCATCAGCAACTATCAGCATTCGTATAGAAGACAAGTTGATGTCCTTCTGATCCTTGTGGGCCATCATGGCCCAGTGAAGATCTCTGCACTTCACCAAAGCCACACGTGCTGTTAGAGGAGAACAAGAAGCACTATGAGCACAAACAGGAAACGGGAGACACACGACTGATCTTAGCAAAAATCAGTCGGGTAAAGATAAAGTTTTTATTGAGAGCAGTTCTCCTTCATGAGCCAAAAGCTGTTTAAAAAACCTAAATTCAAAAAATGGTAAACATAGAAATGTTTAGTATTGTTTATAGAAATGTTGTTAGCTTGAAGGACAGAAAAATGAATATTGATGACGAGGAGGAAACAATGGAGGTACAAATTTAAAAGCATATATTCTTAAATCGTAAAAAAAAGATTACCCAACAAATATCCAGCGATTAAAAAGCATAAGACAATAAACAAACCAGAATAAATAACAAAACAGAAAAAGAAAATTAAATTTTAGTAAATTTGTTGAACTTATATAAACCTCATAATAAGTAATAATACATTTTTACCAAATTGATAAATATTAAGAAATCAATACGATTTGAACTAAAGGAGCTGTAAAATGATAGAAATTATACAGATTATTTTAAAGAGCATTTTAGATTCTCTCGGTTTAGATTAGGGGACGTCCTTATCAGACCTTGAAAATCTGACAAATGGTATCGGAATATGTCAGCTTGTGGCTAACATCTGAAATACAAGCAAGTTGTTAGAAACACTCTGCTTCTATTTAAAGGGTACAGTATGTAACAAATTGTTAATAATAAATGGATCAGCTGTTCTTATACCTATTATTGTAGATTATGGCTCTCAAAGCCTCAAAATCAGTATTGTAGCAAGATGAAAAGGTTGAATCAGGAAACCCGTTGTTAACACTGTGTTTCTTTAAGACTTTACTGATCTAAACAATCTCATGCGATAATGACACCTTCTAAGTTTTGATGGCAGCACTTTGATTCAGCAACCACTCAACCCCTCAGAACCTGGAGAAACTGCCCAGCAATACCCTAAGCCACATGGGAAGGAGTCAGATTTAAAGCGTTTAAGTTCTGACATACTGATTAGTCTAAACCCATAGATACTGGATCACAGAACTTAGTGAATCCACAGGATTAACTCTAACCTAACTCTATCAGGCACTCCAGATGATCCAAATGATGACTGCTCAAGAGATGTTCAATGACAATCAAGGTGATTTAATTAGAAGCTGGTGGATGCTCATCAAGCCAATTAGCATCTGGTGTTTATACACCAGTTTTATAAGGGAGGTTGTTGGAAAACCTAATCGAACAACTGATTTCCCTTGGTGTTTTCACCACCTTCTGGTCATCTAGACAGTCAATGTCGATTCTGCCATGATTAAAAAATCACTTTAAATAAATGAACAGAAACTATCCAAACATGAAAGCTGAAATACAATAAAAAAAAATCCATCTGAACCTTTGTGGATGTGAACCCTCTGCACCCAGGACATGGGGCAGGCTTTCATGACAGCATACGGCACAGTGACGGTGTGAATTCTGTTCATAACACTCTGCAAAACATAGAAAGAAAAACAAAATTTTTTTTAAGGTGAAGAAGCATTGCATCAGGGTATGCAATCTCCTCCGTCAACCATCCTCACCGTTAAGACGCCATGCCACAGACCCATGTCCTTTTTGCAGTCTAACACGTTGACCAGGGTCTCCCCTAATATGGAAACATCAAGTTTTAGTTTTTACACTCTTTACAACAAACAAATGACTTCTAAGTTAGATATGGTTCTAACCTTCACTGTAGTTACAGGCCTGGGTGAGGGCTTGGCAGTGCGTCAACATGGCAATCTTGGAGACGGCAACTCCCATCACTGTTCCCTCCTTACTCGCTTTATACTTTAACAGAAACAAGTGAGCAAATAAACCTTGTGTTTTAAACAAGTGCAGGGGCAAAAATTAACCAAAAAATACTCTTAACTCAACATAAATATAAACTGTAAATAACAAAAAATATTGAATCATATCTTCATCTTCTTCCTCTGAATATTTCATTCGTTGACAGATATCCTTTAAAATTAAAGTATGATATATTGTTACAAGGTCCCTTTTAGACACTTAACCTTAGAATGATTTAACTCTTTGCAATCAAGTCAAAATTGTGTTCAAATTAATTTTCTAACCCAGTTTGAAAAGCATTTTTTGTTGGTTGATCATGTTGGTAACGTACCTCTATGTAGGCTGTGTCAGTGTTGGCAGTGGGAATGTGAGGTTGCCAGTCTTTGGATGGTTTGGTCAGGTACTTTGTGTCTGTAACAACCCATCTCATCCTTGGCCATCCTAGGAAGAAAAAACAAAATGACAAAAGGAACATAAAAGCCATTTACTGATAGAAATTATGGAGATTTGCATTGCTGAATTCTTAATCCGCCTTCCAATCAGAGCAAAAAAGTCAACTGCTGGCCAATGCAATATTGACTCATTCTGATCTGCTTTTATAATACTTTACAACAAAACCAGACCATGGCCAGTTTGTGTTTACTAACCTTTGAACTGGACAATCTCCCCATTTGGTGTCTTGGGCAGCCCTTTTAGGCACACCTCACTGGTCAGCGCCAAACTCACACCACAGCTGCCCAACAGGAAGCCGATCTGCTGGCTGCCTGCGTCCTATTTGGAGAATTGGTAAAAATTTAAAACAAAGCTGACCTACATGCAGCTAAAAAGAGGAACTTAGGAGAAATAATCATGACTAAGGTTCTGGGTTGCTGTTAAGAAAAAAAAAAAAAAAATCAATAAAAGCAGCTTCAATTAGATCGTTTGAATTTTCCTTTTCAACCAAAACTTATAGATTATAATATTTACCTGACGTGACAGAGGTACCTCAATGGGGACAGGAATGACTTCAGCTAACAGGCAGCCATAGAAAGCCACCCAGAACATTCCAGGGTCACTGTTTGGATAAACCAATGCCACCTAGGAACCAAAAAGATTGCTTCACATTCATGCTCCTTTTAAACTTTGGCACGATACAAATCAGTAACTGATGATCTCTTACTCTGTCTCCAGGTTGAAGGACAGGCTCAGTCTTGGTCCCCAGTTTATTGAGCAGAGTATATGCCAGTTTTAAGCTACGGCTCCATAGTTTGCCTAAAGGAGGATGTAGTTTTCATTATTTGTTGAAGTTTAAAAGGCCTACCTAAAGTGGACAGAAAAGGCAAACTGTTTTGGGAGCAGAATTTAGTCTCTATCATCAATGCTCACCGTATGTGAGTGTGTAGAGAGGCTTCCCAGTGATGTCCAGGGCAGTGAGTGCAGGGCTCTTAGCTTGGCTGGCCCCCCAACGGGCCAAGGAAGCCTGCAGAGCAGGAGGCCAGTTGCTGACCACTCCCAGAGGCTCCCCCTTCACAGGGATAATTTGACGTCCCTCAGGTTTGGGGGTGTTAGGATCTGGCTGTGGAACTGGAGATAAAAGAAACTTTTTAAACCATTATCAAGCTAAATGCATATGTGGTAGCTTTTAGTGTTTGCAAAATTCTTGGCAGAATCAAGAACTGAAACCTAATTAAACTCATTTTATTATTTTAGAATGAATGAACTCTAACAACAAATTGGAAGCTTTTGATGCTTCAAGCATCACTAAAGTGATTATTTCCCCTGATGAGACTCACCTTCTACTATTTCCTCCGAGTCATCGAGGAAGAATTCGCAGAGAGGGGGCCGTTTGGGCCTTTTGAGAGTGTTCAACAGCTGCTGGATCTTGGTGGACACCCGGCTGCTGACCGGCACGCCTGGATAAACACCAAGACACAGTCAAGACCCCAAACAAACAATAGGGATAGAAACACAGATGCAGTTCTGCCCCAACGCATATCGCTGCCACATCTCACACACTCTCACACAGGCAGAACCCTACGCTCTAGCACAGTCGGCATCAGAATCAGCAGCAGGAAGGATTCGAAGGGAAAATTTTGAACAAGAGGACACACACAGGTCAGACTATTTTTAGGAGAAACTACATACAAGAAGATATCTACTTCTACGCCTAGGACACTAGACAAACAAAAAAAAGGTTCTGGAAAGCAAGCTGATTGGGCTTCGCCAGCGTCCCTCCCCTTCCCCGGGTTCGTTGTATATTACCTTTTCTTTTTCCTTTTTTTAAATCAAAGGCAAGACATGGACAGGATTAATGGACCCAAAAGAAAGAACACAAAACATCCGTCATTAGCACCATTCCCCAAACTGAGAAATCATTTTGCCCGTGAAGTTTAGATCAACATTTATACTTTCATTCAGAACATCTTGGTTAAAGTAAAACAGGAACAATTAATTCCTCTAATACAAAGAAAACTTCCCAACTGAAAAGGAAGAACCACATGTCAGTAAACCCCAGGTTCCACATTAACACACAGCCAGCTAGCTTTTAAAATCCCTAAATGTAAATTTTTTACACATCCAAGCTTGTGTTAGTTTACCATCAGCTGTATCCAGCATGCTGGAGCGGCTCTGTCCGCGGCTCATCCCCCTGATTGCTGGAGGAAGATCCACTCTGGATCCTCTCTCCTGTGGAGTGGAGGACGTCACATCTGGGGGGACACTGTTTTCTAGTGGTGGAGATCAGATGAAGCAGCATTAATAATCAGTAGTTAACAACCAACAGGTAGCAGGTGTGTCCAAAGGTAAAGCATACCTATACGTGTGTGAGCCAGGACGTCGGCCAGCAGAGAGACACCAGGCTGAGGCTGCGGCTGAGGCTGCGGCTGAGGCTGGGTCTTGGACTCTCCATGGGAGAGGGTGGAGGAAGCAGACGAGGACGTGGAAGAGCTTTGGACGGAGCGGTTAATCCAGTAATCGGGGCTCTGGAGGGTCTGGGCAAGCACGGCACTGAGAGCTGCCTTTCTGCGCAGCGAGCCTTCATCCTCTGATGCAGAGGATGTATCTGAGAACAGTAAAAAAAAAAACATGATTAGACTGGGTTTTCCATAAAGTCAGCTTATTATGTTTAAAATTCTAAATATCTCCAAAATCTTTGATAAATATCCATACCACCTAAATGGCGGTGTTCTCTAATTTATTAAAAAATAAATAAATGTGGATTTATAGTCAGTGTGTTCAGGCTGATACATGGCAGCAGGTACAGCTGTAAGTCTTTTTACATTTATAGACTAAAACAATCCGCCTAATTCATTCTCCTTTCTTAAAGCTCAGCCACACTGAATAAATAACATCTGTGAACATCAATTTTAGGTTCTGCCAGAGCTGCTCATCTGGGTCCGGTTAACAGCTTTGACTGGGCCACTCTAACGCATGTGTTTTCATAGAGCTGAACATTTCCTTCAAAGTTTCAGCTGTGTCTTTATGCTTGTTGCCCTGATAGAAAGTGAACTTCAACCAAAATCTTTTACAGGTTTTCTAACTCTCCTGTATTTGGCTCCATCGCTCTACCGAGCCTCCCAGTTCTTCCTGAAGGAAAGAACTGAAGAAGAGAGGCTGTCATGTGTAGCATTATTTTCCCTCCTCAGAGACTATCCATATATCCCAAAACATTTTAATTTTGTATCGCACTTCCTTTCATATGTTTGCCGACTCCCAGCAGACAAACACAAAGGAGCTATTAGAGGAGTATGGATTAGGATTAGATGACTGGACAGTTTAAGCAACCAATGCCACTTTGTTGAGCCAATCGCTGTTTATTTAGATGAGATTATGGCGACACCTGGCGGCAGCAACCAATTTGAGCTCTCAACAATTCGACCAAATATGACGTTCGGAACGCTACAAACCAGTCATCGATCCCGCATCTACGACCGCCATCGCCTGGAGCTACAGTCACAAAATGCTTTAAGTACAGCCACTCTTGACTGTTTAAAAACCTGTTGAGTGCTACGGACGGATGTAAACAAAGCAGCGGGCGAGCTGAGCATACCAGGGCGGAGGAAGCGGTGTGCTAGGTGGCGTGAGCGGGGCTCCAGGGGGGCTAACGTGGAAGCTAAGAAGGAATCCTCACAGACCACCGTTACCATCAATCCTACTCTCCAACACCCGCTCACAGGATAGCAAAATTAATAATCTCCCCCTAACACCCCTCCATGGACTGTTCTCCCTGCTGCCCTCTGGGAGGAGGCTTCACAGCATTCAATGCAGGTCCAGGAGATTCCAAAAAATCTTCTTCCCCACCGCCATCAGACAGCTGAATGTTGAAAAAACTAAATCATGTCAAAGACTCTGCATCAAAATGACCATATCAATGCGGGTTTTTTTGCACGCTGTTTTTTTTCTCCCACAATGTTTACATTTGTTTACTCCTTGCCAGCTCTGTGCGATGCGCAGCTTCAGCTGCTCAGACACGCTGCAGACAGCATGCGCGTTCATGTGTTTTGAAGGCGTGGTTTTGAGAGGTTCGAAGGGAGAAGCATGGTTGTTTATGTTCAAAAAAAATAGCTTGCCGAAACCATTTTTCCAAGATCTCCTATTGCACCTTTAAGAAATGGAAATATCATGAAAGCTGTACAAAATGAAATTCCATTTTGTATACACAAATGATATAGACAAAATGACAATAAGTTTAAGTCTAAGTTGTTTTCAATGACAGTATTTTTTCCCTCCTTATTTACCAAAAAATCAATTGTGTTAATCTGTTAAAAAGAAAACAGATTTAGATCACATTATAATCCACTAAACTGTGCCGCCCTATAGGGACTAGGTGACTCTACAGAAAAGGTAAAAATCCCAACAATAATATAGACCACTGGCCAAAAGAATTGGGACATAAACAGAAAAATAAGGTTAGTGATTAAGTGTTGCATAATCTTTGACAGGAAAACCAGCTCGTTTACCTTGCTGAGATCTAGCAAAGTGAGCAGATGGCTAACAATGTTATCACCCGTGCCAAAAACTCCTTCTGACGGTGTATCTGTGGAGGTTATCCAGGGATTTTTTGAACCAAATTTTAAAGAGGAAACTATTTTTAATCATCCACCATCAGTGTAACCGCTCAATCTATGTACCTCTGTGAGTTATGAGTCCATTCCTCACTGCACTCACTCTTTAATGCGGTTAGTTTGTGGCTCTACTTCTTTCCCCAAAGGATGAGGCTTCTTTACTGGTTTTAGACTCATCACCTCCCCGGCAACCATTCACACAAACACACACTAGCTGTGTTTCCATCCAATTCTCATGTGAATGGGAGAAAATGAGAATTGGATGCGTTTCCATCCATTGAAGTGAATTACTCGTGCGAAACAAAGCGTAACATTGTCATATGTTGACGTTATGCTTGGCAGCAGTAAACAGGATGCAGAGGTAGCAAACCAGCGCAGAGCACAGATCTGTAATTAAGGTTTTAGTGAATGTGGTGCAATTGTGAAAGTTGAACTTGCTTTTATCATGTGAGCTATTATAAGGTATTTTAGATCCCATCCAGGTACATTAGAGAGAGAAGTGCAATTCTAATGCCTGCATTTAGGACGTCGGGAGTGGAAACGCTGATCAGTCGTGAGGTAAACCTTTACTACAGCAGAACTTATTCCATAAGTGCATTTCCATCTCATCTTTAGCACTTTAACTCTTTCTTTTTTTTGGAAAAGGCAAAATCCACCACAAGAGTGTTAAAACTGTTTTATGCTAAATTAAGTAGACTGAATCAGATTTTGCTGTTTCCATAAAGTTCTTTGTCAAAATGCACAAAGAACAGTGAATATAATATCAATCGCCATTTAAATGATTACTGTGTGTTGTTAAAATGTGACCTCTGCCCACCATCCTCATTTGAATAAGCTTTAAATGTACTATAAAGCTTAAGATTTCCTTTCGGGTCTTAGAACCACAAACTGTGTTTTTGGTGGGGGAAATGGATTTTACCTGGAGGCGTGCAGTTATCCATGGGAGAGTGGACAAAGTATGAGCGTCTCTTGGTGGGCATGGGCGCCATCTTCTCTTCTCTGTGTTTGGCCAGAGCTGCCTGCACAGCTTCTGTGTGAATGTCTTAGCAGCAAAAAACAAACAGATTCAGACGAATTAGGAAACAATATCATACAGCGTGATGGTGCATTTACAGTATGGTTTCAGTTTTGCTGGAAAATGTTTTTGCTGAGTATTTGTTAGGATGGTGAACTTATGAACCTGATCTGTAGCGCTCATCCCTGGCCCCTCCACTGCGGTGTGCACGATGGTGTCTGGAGGCTGAAGAGGTGGAGGGGCCCGGGGCCTCGGGACTTGGGCTGGGGTCGGCACTGTGGCTTGGGGAAGGCTGTACATCTGGCAGAGAAAGGTCCGCTTCTAGAAAACAGGGGGAAACATGTTTAGAAGAGCATGTGTGCTTCAGCAGCAAAAAATATTTAAACTTTATTTCTGCACAGCTCATGATTTATTCTCCCCTTCAATAAATTCATATCACCCCTTTTGTAAAAAGCTGCCATTTATTACCTTCCTATTTTAATTTTTGTCCCCATAGAATAATTACTTATCCATATCCTATTGCATTTTGGTTCATTTCTCTTGGTAGGAAAGAGTTCTTTTGAATTATGGACACAAAGACATGTTAATTAAAATTGTACTTAATATTATTTTCCAAACACTAGATGGTGACAATGAAACCCTGGAGTTGAATCTTTACTACCTGACAACAACAAAATATGCAAAAATATAAGGGCTAAATGATCAGCAGCATTTTTGCACACAGGCAGGAAACACACTTACTTTGCATACTGCCATAGCAACATGTAGGCAATAACATTACAGTTTGGTTATTGTCAGTGATGCAGTTCATGCTTTTAAAGGAGTAGTTGTAACAAGCCCTGTATAGTTATGGCTTTCAGAATAAAATGAACCCAAGGAGATGACTTCTGCAGAATAAAGTCATCTTTTAGTCAAATCTGATTATTAGCGCTGAGAATGAAGACATTGTGTAAATAACACATAAGGCAAAAATCAATTATAGAAATAAGCATTAAAGCACTCAAATCTAGATTTACATAATTTCATATCTACTGCCAGAGGGCGGTGATGAAAGCATGGAATGTTTCGCAGTTTAAGTAATTAATTCAACAAACTTTCACCTTAGGACCATGGATGACCGACCACTCACAAGCTGTATATACTGGTGTCATCAGTGCTCTGTTCCTTACTTCGCCTCATGTGACCCTCTCCCAGTATTACTCACCTTGTTTCTTTCCTGCAGCTTGCGATGTCAAGAGGCCTTATTTTTTTGTTTTTTCTACCTGATGGCTTTTCTACCTGGTGATGACAGCACTTGCTTGCCCCCCTCTCCCAGCATAACCGACAGTGCAGCAGAGGTGCCTCATTAGTATTTTTGTTTTGGCTTTGAATATAAAGGTAACAGATTGCTAACATTTTCTCTGCATTACCAAATAACATCTACAAATTTCTGCATTTTGATGAAACACCGTTATGGCCGTAGCCTTGGACTGGCAAAAGGCCTGGTAGTTTTCTTTTTTCTGGTGATATATAGCAGAGACCTGGCAGGGACTTTCATGAGCCTGTCCACCGCTCAGCTAGAAAGCCTCAGGCCTCAGATCCTGGTTGCCCCTCCCTCAGGACTTCCAAGGCCTGTGGGGATAGAAAATTATTCCACCAGGCCAGCCGTCTGACATTTTTCCCCAATCGGCATCGCAGGTTTTGAACTGCTCATACTGTGGATCCATGGGTGGTTGCCACTTTGAACCCATGGCTACAGGCTAGATTTCCAACTGCACCTCCTCTTTTCATGGCGGGTCAAACTGACTATTGAAACCAACCCAGTGAAATCCAAGGTGCTGGACCAGGAGCTTTCCATCCTCCAGGCCAAAAGTGCAATAAAGGCTGTAGACCCTCTGCGGAAACAAGAGGCTTTTTTTCAATGATTTTTGTTGTGCCCCATTTTGGATCTGAAAGGACTTGATCAGTCCCTAAAGGTCTTTCCATTCCACATGCTCACGACTTTAGAGGTTCTTCAGGCCATTGCAAAAAGAGAGTGGTTTACATCAATAGATGTTAAAGACCCTAATTTCATGTGCCTAATGTGCCAGAACATGGCATTCACAGGTTTGCCCGTCAGGGTCGAGATTGGCAATTACGGTGCTCCTATTCAGCCTCTCACTTTTGGGCGTTTATTCGGTGCGTGAAAGTGGCTCCTCCGCTGCAGACGTCCGGCATCAAGGTTCTTCTGTACCTGGACAACTGGCTTCTTCTTGCACCCTCTCGGGCAAGTGCCCCTCAGAATACGGGCCTGCTTCTTGTCCATGTGTCATGGTTGGGCCTCAAGGTGAACTTTGAGAAGAGCTGCCTTGTTTACATCTCAGACATTCACTTTTCTTGGGATACAATTGGACTCACAACCATGATGGAGTGTCAATCTGTTCACAGTGTAGACGGCATACTCAAACTGGTCAGTAGATTCAGGGTGGGCAAGCGGTTTCCCTAAATCGTCTTCCTGCAGATGCAACACAAACTGACTTCTGTCACTCTTGGGTTTGCTACTTCTGTGCCCTTTTCAAAGGTGGCTCAACAGCTTTCTGCACGCCATACTTCGCAGTCACTGCAGGTTCATAGTGACATGGACATGCCTTTATGCCCTGGCCCTATGGTAGGACAGGACATAGTTGTCCAAGGGTATTCCAATGGGAATGGTGGTGTGTTGCAGGGAGATGGTCACCACAGATGCCAGTAGCACGGCCAGAGACTCTAATATAAGACTCCCTTTTTGTTAGCCATCATTTCACCTAAGAGGGTTGATGACCTACGTTTCTGTTAGTCCCTCATGTCCCTGATGGGATCCAAATGGTTCTGGTGTTACCTTATGCTCACACCAGCTTTTTGTGTGCTATGGTCTCTTTCTAAACAAAGTCTCCCCCACTACATTGTGGATGCCATCTACCATACTTACAGTGCAGGACACCAACTGCTGCCAGACGGTGTAAAGGCCCCCTCTACCGAGAGCATCTCTGGTTCCTATGAGTGGCATTCCTATGGGGCGTTCCTATTGCAGCTATAAGAGGGCTCAGTTGGATGCCATACAGTCTGTAGCATCATGGGCATCTCCAAGCACATTCACCAGGTTCTACAAGATCAACGAGGCTGCCCCTCATCCCGTGGGCCATTATTTTACGAGGTTCAGCTGGGCCGTCCCGATGAGATATGTGGTCAGGATTCGTTGTGACGTGGTTGGAATTAGTCATTCAGTACTTCCAGTACCGCACTCTGGCAGTCAGTAGGGATGAAGGAGAACGGAAGCTATGTATGTAACTATGGTTCTATGAACCCTGGATAACTGGCAATTTTACTAACAGGGTCACACCTGTGACCCTGTTAGTAAAACAGGGTAGAACTGTGCATGCAAAGGGAACATTGAGTGTTGTCAGCACTGCCCTCTGGCTGTCATCAGGGATTTACAGGACCGCAGGTACATACATAACTTTTGTTTTTCTTTTTAAGAGTTTTTTTTTTTAACTTTGAATATAAAGGTAACAAATAGCTAATATCATCTCTGCTTTACCAAATTACATCTATGAATTTCCACATTCTGGATTTTATTTACAAAGACTTTTTTAAACCTTATTTAGCACGCTTTGTAAATGCTTTTATAAAAATATAATAAAATAGTTTATTTTACTATAAATGCTTATTAAAACCTATCTTTCAAATGTGATTGTTTTATGTATGTAAACAAGTTTTGTTAGAATTAGGACAAAAAAAAATGCTGTTTAAACTAAAGGTTTCTGTCCCCCTGGAATACTTTGTGTAGAAGTATCTTAATTTAACTTTCTATTGTAACTGTTTAATAACTTCTGTCATGGTATTTTTACTCTGCCAAAAGTTGAAAAAGCTACTTTTCTCTATTCTCATTACACTGCTAAACAATTTGCATTTGTTAATCCATATTATATAGTTCGAAATTTATTTATGGTTATTATTGATGTGTGACTCCATACAACCAAAGAAAATTCCTAAGTAAAAAGATTCTTTGGAAATAAAGCCTTTTCTGATTCAGACAATCATACTAGAAATGCAGTTGCAATTGTGAACACTAGGGGGCCCAACAAGCTCAGTAATACCTTTGTACTTTAGGACAAAAACATTTAAACACAAACCTAATTATTTCTATAAATTACCTCCACATGAAAAACAAAGACTACTGTACAGAATACTTGTGTAAAGCGCTGAGTCAACTATAATGATGTTTTAACTCTAAAAGTTGGTAATTGAGCACTTCATGATTTTAAACTTGCTTCAGCTTTGTTAAAGTTGAAGCAAGTTTTTGGCTAAATAAGAGCTGAAAGGTTATAACAACACCGTTGGAGGAAGGACAGCTAAGTCCGGACATGAGGAAATGGAAAGGCAGAACAAAATGAAGAACTGGTCTTACTTGGCAGCTGAGGGATGTAGGAGGCCAGCAGCTTGGCTCTCTTCTTTTCATAGCCCTTCTGAGTGATGTCACCTAGGAGAGAGGATAGCAACATCACACCGTCATGTTAGTCAGAATTACCACACAAACACCGGACAACTGTGCCACTCCTCTGACACACACACACACACACACACACCTCCACACACACACACACATTAGGATTTTGCTTTAGCTAACACACATATACAGCAGCTGACTCATTGTATTAATCCTCTTTGAAGCAAATCTTCTAAACTCTATAAAGTTGCAATCTAAGTCTAATTACAGCTACAAAAAGATATAGCACCATTGTGAGGCTTTTCATTAGCTGCTATGAACAAAGATGATTAGAAAATAATCACCTCCTCCAGGCTATGAGACCTAAATGTGATGGTAGAAAGTACAAGGGAACCGTTCTAGGCAGAGAACTGGGACAGCCCTGAGAGATTTAGGGTAAAACCAAGCCAGAAATTAAACATGCACAAGGGACTGAAAATCAGTGAAAAGTGAGATAATCAAGCACTACCAGGCCAGGTTGTGTTTAACACTATGTGAGGATGCTGATCAAAGAAGATTCAAAGACAGACCTCCAATGGTGAGAGGGCAAGACTTCAGCAAACAGGAAGGCTAAAGACAACAGCAAATATTTATATTCATCTATTGTAGAACAAGCTGTTATTAGAAAACATTGGGAGTCAGGTTTCAGTTTTAATTCTGGAGGGAAGGACCCCATCCTAATGAAAGAAGGCCAATCATCAGAGAGAGTTACCTAGAACATCACCACTAGATGCTCCAGGGGTGAAGCTAAACTCTAATCAGTTAGTCCATCTTAGTTAAAACCTGTTTAGCAGAAGCTACTGTCCCACATACACACACCATGCATTTTATCCAAACATAGTTTACAATCACCCTCCTCTAAACACACACTCTTTCTAAATAAACATTGCCATTTGCAGAAAAGTTCCACAAATTTTAAATCTGTGCATCCCAAGCAAAAATAAAGCATGTGAGGGAGTATCGGAAACTGATTTGGTCGTTCATCTCTTCCAGCACTGTCCCCTCCCTCCTTTGGCCTTGGACTCTGCATGCTTCTCACCACTAACTCACTCTGGCAGGAAGCAACAGAAGCATGACAAAGTCCACCTCTCTGGTACCCCAAAACACACAGTGTGCTTGAGCAACAAACATGAAGGCAAACCTGCTCCACCCGGTTAGCCAACACAGCCCTCCTCTACACACAAACACCCCTAATGCTCCAAATCCCTAACATTGCTATTCTGCCCCTTTTGTATTCAGCGATGGTATGGTTTGTTGAGTGGAGTGACCCGTCAGGCTGCTTTGCCTCAGTCCTCCGACACCTACTCCACAACGATTGGAGACCCTCATCCCTTTTGTGTGAGAGTGGGTGATTAACACATGTTGAGGGCCGCGGATGTTTGGCACTCTAGACTCTTTACTTGCTTTCCACTGATGTTTCAGAGTTCATTCAGCAAGCAGAGCACAGGGAGGTGGGATGCTTTAACACTAGGTGGTGTTTTTTATCCTCAAAGTTTTCTGCTTACTATCCACTATAGTTTGGGATTCATCTGGAAGAACAACATAATCATCAAGGAAACTCCCTTTGAGCACAGCATGTAGATCCTCAGTGTGAGGTAGCTCTGAGTTACTTAGATCTGGAACTTTGGATTCTCTCCTGAGGTTTCACAACACTGAAATCACGAGAAATAGAGGAAGAGGGAGGGACAGTAGTGGAAGAAAAAAAGCAGACAGTTTGAGAATGAGGGAGTGAAGCGCTGAGTTCTTTGTCTTTCCCTTGAAAAAAAAAAAGTTCAAAAAAGGAGGCCAGCATTCAGTGCAGTGTTTACCCCTGGTGCTCACTCTTGGGAGGAAAACACAGCAAAAAATATCTTATGTTTTCTGCTTCTTGGAGCTGCACATCAGTAGTAAATTGATCATAACAGACTGGAGCATCATTGAGGTTAGAGATGGAGGGGGGAGGGGTCACACCAAGCCCAGTTCTGCAGGTCAAGCAGTATCATCAGGGGGGGAAAGAGGAATAGATGGAAAGACAGGGGGAGGACGGTCATTAACGCTGACAGAGAGGCCTTTGTTGGTGTGGGGAACAACAACAGGCCCAGACTGGCACGGCCACACTGGCTCTGCCACTGACAGAGAGCATAAAGGAAACTGAAGGACTCTGGGGCTCAAAGACTGACTGTAACAGCTGATCCCAAGCAGAAGAAAAAGCTGTGCACATTAAGAGAAAGAATGCAGAGCTTTGAGTGTTAGCATGAGCAAAACAGTACAGTAAGTGTGCATGTGTGTAATCTGAGGTCAGGGGACAGGATATGAACATTACCCCACCCAGTGTGCGCACTGCCAAAAAAACGTCTCCCTCTGCCTGTCTAGAGAAAGAGGAATGTGCTGATCGGAAAACACGGAGCTGACAGAGACGGCCAACTGGCCAGAGGACCCGGCTTTGATGGCCAAATAATTCCCCGAGCCGCAGCGAAGCACTGTGCATGAGTGTGTGGGCAGCTGGTACAGGTTAAAGGTGCAACAAACCTAGAGGAACGAATGCTGATGCAGGTCAAGAGGATGGCGGCATACAAGGGTTTTCTGTGTCAGTGTGTCAGATCAGGACTACGTCTGACCTGCTTCATGTCATTACCTTAACCAGGAAGGGTTGGGTGACATCTGTCAGTTAAGGACATTTAATATGTTATTTCTACATAAGGACTGTAAGATAGAAAAAACATAATGATGTTGGATCCATGTTCGGAAATGACAGAATTCTAGCATTATTACATAATAAATGTATCGTTTTTTTTATTGTCTGATCAAAAATTAGAGCTGATCAAGTGCAAACTGCCTCAAATTCAGCCCATTGGTTTGTGGATTTCTGGCTTTAAAGATTCCCTTTCACTACGCTGCTCGTTTTAGCAGACTGAGAGCAGTGATGCTTTCTGAGGTCATATGGGACAGCCTGACAGTGACCCTCTGACTCCCTGTTCCAAGTGCAACCATAGACCTTTGACCCCAGGCCAGCTACGAAAGACGGCTGATCTCCTCCCAGCTCACTATACAAGACTAGAGAGGATAAACACTACCCACTACCCTGGCATGTAGACAAATAAAACAAGATTGAAAAGATTCACCATAAAAGAGTTTTCAGAAGCCCAGTTATTAATATCAACCGTTAATATAAGTAAACATTTGCATTTATTCCAAGCACAGGAGCAGTTTTCTTTTGTGTAGATGAGGTGCATAAATGTAAAATTAGGGATGAAAAACATACAAATTCCAGCCAATATTAATATGTGAAAATAATGCCAATAAACAATATAATATATTTTATAGATATAAATTTCCCTCACCTTTTGATACCTAAAAACATTTAAAAAAATGATGACACGCAATTCTGTCTGTGGTGGCAGATTTGGATAGACTATGTAAAACTTCAAAGAGACCAAACTTGATTAATCTCCTCGACAAACCACTCTCCTAATACGGTGACACGCTTAAAAAACAATCTGAAATCAATGTCATCAGATATATCGTTCATTCTTAGATAAAATATATAAAAATTAAGACATTCGACCAAACAGTTATGGCTAATTAGACAACTTAAGACAATATAGTACATTGAATAAAAATAACATACTGAGGTTCTAAGAAAAGTGCAACGAAAAAAGATGAATTAGAAATAATTTATATGAACTCTGGTTGCATATACCTGCAAAAGAAACAGGCTATTGAAAATATGTAAATAACAGCAGGGATGTTAACTATTTAGTGAGATTAATGGAAGCAGTGACGGCTATAAAGTCAAACAGCTGCTGGGAGGAAGGATCTATGACAATGCTTCATTGTTCCTTTAGGGTGCAGCAATCTGTCATTAAAGGAGCTTTGAAACAGCTCATGCACTGTGGTGGGAGACATCATGATTTTATTTTTGCTAGTTTGTTTAGTTTCCAAACACCTGTTCTGGATATAGAGGGCAAACTGGGACGAGGCTAAACCTCCTGATGAGCCTATCTAACAGTTTCCTCACAGCTGTACATAAGCTGCGTTTCCAACATATTGAGCATAGAAAATGGCTGATTACTGAGACCCCGAGAGTTAAAAAAAATGTTTTTAAGAATGCCCTGTACAATCCCAGCCATCTAAGTCTCCTTAGAAGTTAAAGTCTGCTCCGAACTTTCTGTATGAGCATCAGTGCTGGCTCCAATCGCACTATTGACCAGGGAATACCATTTTCCCAGGATTTAACCTGCTGCTTAATGATCAAACCAAATCAAGGAAAATTAAGTATAAACTTCCAGAATGTAATCAATGTAAGCTGCTTGTTAAAGTAGCATTGATTCTATCTATTTGAAATCTTTAATGAACACTGTTGTTTAGTGTAGATTAATTGAAAATTTTAACTGTATTATTTTATGATTAATTTATAAATACAGAGCTTTGTAAAGTCATAAAAACATTAGCCATTTCAACGTTTTTCAGTGTATTGATGCTCTTCTTAATATGTGAGGTCAAAATAAAGGAAAGGGACGCTTTCTAATTATTTGATTATTTTCTAAAGGTATTATTGTCATAATCTCCATTTTCTTACAAAAAAATATATATATATAAAAAGAGAAAGTATTTTTGCGTCCTTTGGCAGAGATGACTTCAAAATCTGTTAGGTGGTTTAGACATACAGTTAATATGAATAATACAGAAATCAGAACATCTCCAAAGCAGCCAAACTGTTTAATACAAATATATAACATACTTTTAAAACGTTTGTTAAACTTTAACCAAGATTTGATGTTTTTTTCCAACCCAAAAACATGATAGAAGAACAGTTCACAGCCAAGAACCCACTGACACAACACAACATCCTGATAGAAAGCAGACAGGAGAGTCTGGACTGGAAAGTTAAAGCTCGGTTTACACACACACACACACACACACACACACACACACACACACACACACACACACACACACACACACACACACACACACAGATCAGATCAATGGAGGCAGAGCACATTAGAAATAAT